GACTGTGTCAGATTAGTTTCTCAGACTTACTACCGTTCTTGTCAAGTGTTTGGACCAGCAGTCTGCGAGGATTGCAAGGTTGTTTGAGTAAAGTCGACCATTTTTCTCTCTCAGGGGGGTGTCGCTAACTCTGGGCGATGTTGTGAGTCCTTATCCATCAGTCAAATGAATCCTGGGCAGACTGTCTATAGGGGTTCAACCTCCTGATGAGTCGGTGAAAGTCCGACGAAACAGTCTGGCACAGTCATGCTTTTTTTTAGTGTATAGCAAATTTGACAACACACTCAGGCCGCCAAGCACTCAGACAGGCACGCAGACCAGCAAGCATGCACACACACAGACTTAGAAAACTCAGCAGAACACGGGAACCTCGGCAAGGCATTCATTCCAGCGGCAAAAACTCAGAAATCAGCAGTGTTCTCAGTCTGTGGTTTGGGGGGTCATTACATAATCATAAATATCATATATTGATTGAATATGATTCTATGTAACATCTATTCATTGTAAGTCAATATAAAGATATTGGAAAATTACATTCTTATCTTAATTTAAAGAGTCCTCCATAGAATCAATGATATGTACATTAACAATATAATATAATAATACTATAATAGAGATATGTTTGTTTTTTTTAATTCATTTTTAATTTTTTAATATTTTTATTGAAATTCACTTGTTTTCAGACTGAACAATTATAGAGTGCCACGATCCCAAGCTCCAGAAGATCTCCATGCGACACCAGGAGAGCTACAGCTTAAAACACCTTAGAAGCTTCCCCATTTCTTCCCGGTGCTCCAAAAGAGCAGCCCGTGGGAATGACACCCACAGAAAACACTATCTGAGCCTCCTCACGGGGACACCGTGGCCAAAACTCCAAACATACAATCCCACCCCCAAAAAACTTGTGGCCACCCACAGACATTCCTTCACAAAGAGACAGCTGTGGTGTGTTTGGAACACATGTTGTTCGTTCTCAACATGGTACAAGACCATGGAACATGGTAAAAGACCATGCAACATACCATGACAACACCTCGGGAGGAAAATACTCACCTGAGCCAGTAAAGTCAGAAGAAAATTCTCGACGTACACAAATGACCAGGCAAGGAGCATGTAAAGATAAAGCAGCAAGGCAAAGGACAGCAAGTCAAAAGGCAGCAAGACAAACAGCACAAAGCAGCGGGGCAAAAGGCCACGAGGCAAAAAGCAGCAAGGCAAAAGGCAGCCAAACGACCAGGCAATCAGAAGGCAGCGAGATGAAAGGCATTAAGGCAAAAGGCAGTGAGAGAACAGGCAGCAAGACAAACAGCACAAGGGAGCAAGGCAAAAGCAGCGAGGTAAAAAGGAGCAAGGCAAAAGGCAGTCAAACGACCAGGCAGGCAGCGCGGAAAGATTAAGCAGCAAGGCAAAAGGCCGTAAGGCAAAAGGCAACGAGGCAAAGGGTAGTCAAACGACCAGGCAAGCAGCATGGAAAGACAAGGGGGGGAGAGGAAGCAAAAGGCAGCAAAAGACAAGCAAAACAGAGCAGAAAGACTAACTAAGGAAAGCGGATAGGCAGCAAGCTGAGCAAGGCGGGAGGCAGCATAGACAAAGAAGTCCACACAACAAACATGGTCAATGCAGCCATCACCTACTCACACCCCAAGTAGAACACGACAGACTGTTGGTTCCCACCACCCTCAGCATCATCACCCAAGGAACATGCAGCCACAGACGTCCTGAACAGAGAAGCTCCCGTAATAGTGTTACGGGCATTCCCAACAAGCGACCACTGACTATTTGGCATGTCGTAGAGGTGCTCACTGAGACAAAAGAGAGAGGGAAAGCATGCTAGACTGAGAAGACGGAAAGAAGTTATACACAAACGACTGAGTGTGTGCGTGCAGCCGTCACCTACTCACACCACAGACTGTTGGTTCCTACCACCATTGCAGTCAGGAAGCCACTCCGACGAGCGTCTGTCATCACCCAAGGAACATGCACCCACATCCCAATTAGAGCAGCTCCCCTGATAGTCTTGCGGGCACTCCAAACAACCGAGCACCGACTATTTGGCACGTCTTAGAGATGCTCACTTAGGCGAAAAGGAGAGGGGAAGTACATAGATTAAGAAGACGGAAAGAAGATATATACAAATGATAGCTCGTGTGTGTGTGTGTGGGTGGGTTGGTGAAGACGGAAAGAGTTATATACAAATGATTGTGTNGGAGGCAGGGTGGCGGATAGGTAGGGAGGCGAGAACGCAGGGAGGCGGGAATGCAGGGAGGCACAGAGGCAGGAGACAAGGAGGCAGGGAGGCAGGGAGGCAGGGAGGCAGAGAGGCAGAGAGGCAGGTAGGCAGGTAGGTAGGCAGGTACGTGGCAGGTAGGTAGGCCGCTAGGCAGGTAGGGCAGGCAGTCAGGCGGGCGGGCAGGGTGACAGGGTGGGTAGAGCGCGCGGGCAGGCAGGTAGGCAGGCAGGTAGGGCAGGGGGGGGGGCGAATGGGCGGGTAGGCCGGCGGGCAGACAGGCAGGCAGGGAGGCAGGCATTAGGTCTGTCTCTTATACACATCTAGATGTGTATAAGAGACAGGTGTGTGTGTGAGAGAGAGAGAGAGAGAGAGAGACAGAGAGAGAGAGAGACAGAGAGAGAGAGATCCTCCAACCCCAACGCCTCCTCCCCCTCCTCCCCCTCCTCCCCCTCCTCCATCTCCTCCACCTCATGTTCCCCTTGGTTGCCAGCCTCTTTGCCTTCCTTTTTCACATGTGCTGATTGGAGCACACAATTTTATTTTATTTTATTGTCTTTTGGTGTGCTTTTTTTTTTTTGGTCTATTTTCAAGTATTTTGTCTTTTTGGTCTATTTTAGTATCTTGTCTTTTTGGTCTTTTCTTGCTGTTGGTACAGGGCTGACAGGGAATCATTGTATCCACTCGAGTGCGTCGACACATGCTGGTGGGCGGTGCATCACAATAGGATGGCCATACGTTTCAAAGTATTAATAAGGAAAACAATGAGGAAAAACAACTACAAACAAACAATACGTTGGCCGTGCCGCTGCTGCTCCAGAAGTCCTCGCCACAGGACTCACCAAATTTCAGAAGAAAACTAAAGTGATGTATATTTTCATGTTCTCGTAGAATATTCACTCTCATTTTGCACATTTGGTGAGTGGTGCAGTGAGACCCACAATTTCCGAAGTGTGGCACTGGTCGAAAAGAGTTTGGGCCTTTCATTTTTCACGCTTGACAATTTAGGTTCGGTCACACCGGTGGTTTAAACCACCAGTACTTGGCCCAGCTATCGATGCCGAGCCTGAAAACGGGCTGCATGTCGTTTTGCGCCGACCCGCCAGCGCAACAAAAAGAACTCCTTTTGGCTGGGGGCGCCAGCCTTTGAGGGCCGGTATCCCAAGCCTCCGGAAGTTGCAGGGCGTTAACGGCAACGCCCCGCGGCCGATGTATTGGCTAAGTACTGGTGGTTTAAACCTAACACCAACCACTCCAATTGCCTCACCTTGAGCTTTTCAACTGACTGTAGGTTCCTCTGGAGGGGGCTCGCCTTCTGGTCGAGACCACCATTCTTCTGTCTTGGTACCCCAATTACCCCAATTAACTACCATGTCTGAAAATGACATCCCGACGAGTCTGCCATAATGCAAGGGGGCTTATGGACTGGTAGCCCGACGTGATGCGGGGGGTCGGTGGCGGTTGTGAAAAAGTGAGTGGGGTTACTTTGGCAATTTTTCGCGCTAGAAAGTATGTGCAAGGCTCAAATGACTCCCCGACTACTCTTTTTCAGGTTCATGCAATACGTTCAAGAAACAGAAAAAGCTTCGATAAGGGACGCCGGGCCCGCTCCTAGCACGTGCTCCTCACCAATTTTTTCTTCGAATTATTGACTGTGCACCTACTCTTTTTTAGGTTCATGCATTACATTCAAGTTGATTCAACAAAAGAAAGGTATTGCTCCTCCTGAGTCCTCACCAAATTATGACTCCTCACCCACTTTTTTTTCCCTGCAACTTGGTTGTCTAAGACACTGGGCCCGTTTCCTAGCACGTGCTGCTCCCCACAAATAGATTGGCGCCATCCAAGAGGTGGACCCTAGATCAGGCCTGGGCTCGTACTCCTGCAATGATGTAGGGCCACCTCAACAGGTGTTAAAAAAAAAAAAAAAAAAAAAAAAAAA